TATATTAACTCATTTGATGCCATACTAGGTTATTCTAGCACAGGCTCAATTGCATAAAACTGAAAATATCCCAGCAACTCATTAGGCACTTAGCAAGTTTTATTAGAGTTTTTAGCTATATAATTTCTTTAAAAGTGGATGGGTGCAGGTATCATTAATGAGCAGCAGATAAGGGACAGTGCTACARCTCCCACTCATTCAAGCTCTTGCAGCCTCTGTTGCACCAGCAACTGTCTGTACTCAGTAATCTGTCCCAGACAACGGTGTTGCAAGTTTTGTTCAGGTTTTCTGTGTATGACGCTGCTTACACACTGATCTACAGAAGTATGCCAAAAACTTYGGGTAAGAGGAACTGCAGGTAAAGTAGATTTGGAGGGATTTTCCTTCAAATTTAATTATTAACATAAATAAAATTTCATTGCTTTCTAGTGTGGGGAGAAAGGAAATAATGGTATAATATCTCTGAACTGTTGCTGAGACAATCTCATTATTCGGACTTACACCAATGACCATTAAAAAGAACTCTTTATTACCCAATGGAAAAGCACTCTGTGCTTCTCCTTTCCTCAGAAAACAGTGGAAAGAAATCTTCAGCTTGATAAGCAATGGGCTGCTCACTGACCCAGARCTTTACTAGGGAGATTGGATCTTGGACATATGGCTCTTTGGAGATTAGTCCTTTACTGACTATCATCCAGAAAACTACCTTGTGGCCTTGTTTGGAGGGGATGCAGTGGACCCTTCACAGTCTTGAAAGCCATCTGACACTCAGTTCCTAACGTGTGTATAGGGACAGCAAGCACAAATGTGGGTTTAAATTACAAGCACAAGCCATATTGGTGATTCTGAGTTTATGTGGGAAAACACTTTCCACATACACGCCTACTCTAAGGAAAACAGCAGCTTCCTAAATTTTATTTGAACAACTAAATCCTCATAGCATTGCTGTGTCTGCACAAGCATAATTGGTTGTATGGATGGAGATTTAGCAGGACAGGAGGTGATCTGGTGATCTCCACTGAAGTAGCTGTGATGGAGTAGACAATGTTCCTCATTTATGCCATGTGTTGTATRGAGGTGGATCATGGTTGCATTGAAACTCCTTCAGACTAATTTAACAGGAAAAAAAAGGGGGGGAGAACTTAAAACTGCCTTCATGCATCTATGCATGCTTTTAATAGAGAACTARGCTACAAAAACTGACAGAACAGGAACAACAGAAGCAAATTTAGGATGGAACTAAAATTTGCAATCACACTATTGAGGCTGCAAAATCAGAAAGAAATAGCTGTGAAATGTACCCTAATCAGACAGAAGTAGTAATGCCAYTCAAGGAAGCTGAGTTATGTTGATGTATTTTCCTATTTCAATAAATTATTTTAACTTTTGCCAAGTCTGATATCTTAGTGACCTTTGATATTTTTAGTGCAATTTTCGCTCCTATAGATATTAATCCAAATTTGCTTTTAATATATGAAGATATTTTAAATTATTCTCTCAGGGCTCTGGATATACAATGATGCCAATAAAGAATCTTTCAGATTTTACTTCTACTATTGTTTCTTAGAATTAGGGAGAAAAGGAGTGTGTATAAGGAGCTTATTGCCTATTAGCTACTGAGAAGATATTAACGATTTTATCACTAGAATCCAGAATTATGCTCTTCAATCTGAATAAGCAGATAGATTTAGGTAGATAGTTTTGGATATCACATACGTAATCCAAGGGGTTTAGGGAGCTTCTTACATTGCCCTGTGGAAATGCAATATAAATGCCACTCAACAAACAGCACGTTTTTAGAAAGATGACACATAGTATTGTGGTAGTAATAGAKCTAATGGGGTTCTTTTTCCACAAAGTGGCACATTTCTGGTTTATATGAAAATGTCATGTAGGCGAACTTGGAAATTAGAAATCCACAGTGACCAAAGAGAATCAGAGAAAACTATGCTACAGTCAGACATGCCTTAAAGAGCTAGGAAATATGTCTGATCATCTGGATTTCTATGTAGTTCCTCTTGATGTCCATCAGATAATGAACGGAACTTYCACAACAATTCAACAAAAGTATAATTTAAAATATGGCTTCAAAAAAAAGTCAACATAACAAGATTAATTACATGAATATATCATCACCATGAAAAGAAATGATTGATCCTTCCAAACAGATCTCCAAATTTTAAGTTAAAATCATTTTGGACAAATTTTTATCTCTCCCTTCTGTTAACATTCAGGTAAACAAATGACATTTCTATGAATGATTCCAAGAAAATAATGTTAGGTAAACAGATTTTAACCATAGGACAAGATATATTTCATTACATAAGAATTGCCTAAATTTATGATGGGGTTCAGCTTCCAGTCTAAGAGATACAGAGGRTATCCATCTGCATTATGGCTCACTGGAGATGTCTTGCAACTTCACACTGCACTTCAGCCCATTAAGAAACAGAACTTGCCCATTAAGAAACATTAGCTCATGGAGCTAATTCTTGAAGTCTTTTGTAAAATGACATAGCCTTTAAAATACCCAGACTTTTAAGACTGCTTTTATAGGAAAAGTTGACCACTTCTGTTAATCTTTTATATAGATATATAGAACTTCTATGTGTTCAAGTTTTAGCCTTCTGTTTTGTACAGCATGAGAACAAGACAGGGAGGTAACATATCTACCATTTTGAACCCAGAGTTTGGTCCTGTAAATCTGCTCGGAGTGCAGATGTGGACCTTCACACTCTGGTGCACAGAGTGGTCACCACTCTGCAGGGACGCAGYCCCCACCCAGTGAGACACTGTGGTGTCCATGGTCTGCCTCCTCCCTCAGTTCCTCACTCCTAAAGCTCTGAACTGTGTCCAAAATAGGGTTGGGGTTCATTAGTGCAAGTTGCATCTACCTTTCTTTTTCACAGGAAGTTATTCATACAGATTTATTTGCTGTGAATCATGCTCAAAACACCGTAAGTTTYGACACAATTATTCAGATGACTGAATAGAAAACTTAATTTTATTAGGAAGCAGATGTCATTTTACTTCAGTGAGGACAWGAGAGAGAAAAGGTAAAGTGATATGAGTACAGCCATTTGATGAGAAATTTTGAAATGGTACTGAAAGAAAGAAAGTGCAAAATAGGTTTCATAATGAAATGTGTATTTAACTGGATAAGCTAAGGTACATAAAGTSTAGATTTTTAGAAATTTTGCATACCCTCTTCTTGGTGCTTAGCTACCAAATCTTAAATTGTGCTCTGGAAAATATTAATTTTTTTCAAAACTGTATGCAAAAAGAATATTCACAATATTTCTTTAGTACTGTAAGGCTCCAAATTGTCCCTAAACACCAGGGCTTCACAGATGGACAAACTGTGCCCACACTATTCATATATTTTGGTTGCAGGATGTCACTTTGGGATTTCTAGATTTCTAAATTTCTCCACRCATTTCTAGCTTAATTTAAATCTGGTCAGGTAATTCAAAATAGAACTAAAAAAGTACAAGTCTGSTTTATTTTGTCTTTTATGCAATCTCAGAAAAACATCACAAAGCAAAGAGAAGCTGAGAGTTTTGAATTCAGAGTCTCAGGAAGGAAAATTATTTTAGGTGTATGGTCATGTAAAATCTAGGGTACACTGTCATTGCTGAGTGGCTTTCTCTACCAGCATCAATTTGACTCAGGACAGACACTGTTGTTCATGCTATTCATATATTTATCCAGCAAAAAAAAAATTAAAAGGGAAAAAAATAAAGAAAAAAGGTTAAAGAATAATATGATGCACAAACAAGKCCCTCAATTTTGTAGCCCAGAAGATAACTGTTGACCTGAGTACTCAGTATTGCTCTTTTTTTTCCAGGAAAACCTTTACCATTTGCCATCCCTTTGATTATAAAGTTCACTGATTCCAACACTACTCTTGTTGTGCTTCACTCTGCAATATGTCACAGCATTTGAAGATGTTCAGCATTGAAAATTAGCAGCTGACCTTTAAACTTATCTCTAAAACTGTTCTAATTTATTTTAACAGAAAAAAAGTARTAGTGCATGTGTAAGCCACCCATGCATCAAACCCAGTCATCTAAAGTAAATTCCAGTTCACCTTTAACTTTCAAAAGATTTAAGCCTATTTACAGCTTGGATTTACTAATATTTAGAGAAAAAATATAGTTTAGCAAATCCTGTCTGAAGTTACAAATCATATAATACAATGTTTGCCTTCTAAATGTCATATTGAAGGAAGCTTCTCTGGCAGATGAGAGCAGAGTATGATGGTTAAACATATTTTCTTAAGAATCCTTGAAAACCAAGATAGAGAAAGTAATGCAGCAGATTCATTCTCATGTCTAAAGCACCCATTTTCATAAATGAATGTTTGCCTTCCCTTTAACCACAAGTTTTGGCATGAGTAAATGTCCTGAAGAATTACTCATTTGGATTGCACGCACATGTCCTCTTCATTATTTAAGATCCACAATATGCTGAGGAAAATAAATTTGCTTTGAATATCTGTTTTTCAATGTGTTTGATTTTATGTACTTTTCACTTCACCAAATTGTACTAAAAGCATAAAATTAATGTAATAACCAGTGATTTCTGATTAAATAAAAAAAATTTAAAATCATTGCATCAGCCTGTTCTTCTTCTACTTTYCATTTCTTACATATTGAAGCAACCATCATAATAACCATCATATAAATACAAATATTCAAAGACATGAATTTGTTTTTATAAACCCTAAAAAGCTCAGTAAACAGTTATATTTATTATGCCTACATCTTAATTATTAAAGATCCAAGTGAGTTTGAATGTCTTAGGCTGAAAGATATAATTTTTCATATAARACAGTTTACCTATTTTAAAACTAGGGAAGATACAAGATGTCGTAAATCAGTACATTGTTTGCTAATAAAGTTGTTTGTATAAAGGTAGATCCTGTGCCAGAAKAGAACATTATTAATATCTTATTAATGCCAACTGGATCTACCATCTTCTCCTTCTTTTGCACTTACCTGGATCTCAGATGGGAAGATGAAGCAGTTCTGTAGAGCTGTGATAGAAAAAGTAGAGAATTACTCTGATATGTTCTGACTGCTACTGAAGACACAATATTTGTGTTATTTGGCCAGAAGCAACAAGTCCCTAAGTTACTGGGGGTCACCTCTTCAACCTTATTTATTCTGAAAGATTAAAAGGACATGATTGAAATACTATCCATGTATGATGTGAAGTACTTGCTTCACAAAAACTGGAAATCCTGTGGAAAATATGATCTTATACTCATTTATGAGAATTGCTGTCTCAGATTTCTTGATGATGATGATGATGTTGATGAATCTCTGCAATATCTTGGCTTCTATGATATATAATAGATAGAACCACCTGTTACTATTATAATCAAGTTATCATCCTGCCTTATTGATCTGTATGATAGGAGACATCCRGAAAAACAAATATCTTGGCCCTACTAACAACTAATAATGTTCTAGTTGAACATGCAATAGMGCTGAACACTAACAAGATTTCTCCTGGGATGTTTTCAGCAGCTGAGCTTACTTTAAACAATGGGCTTCAGCAATTATTTAAGAAAAAGTATGTGTTGTATGTAGAGCTTATGTTTGGATGTTTAATATTCACAAAATTGTACCTGTCAGTTTACTGTCTTAGCTGGATGGCTTGATGTAATATAAACTTGTGCAAAATAAGAAAAATTATTYCAATGCAGTACTCTGAAATTAAGGTAAAATGTATTCAAATGTTTCATACTTAGACCAATCCTCCCACTATGTCAGTGACCTTTAATTTCCTTTCAAAGAACYGCCATTTCTGGTTCATGAAGTTCCAAAGACATTCTCAGTCCTAAACAAGTTCTAAAATACATGAAACCAATGTAAGCAGTAAGAATAATACCTGTAAAAACAAATGAGAAGGATTTTAATGAAAACCTCTGCATACATTTCAACATCTAAGAGCCTTCCKAGGAATTAAATTTGCAAAACAAATTCTCTATACTCAGTTTTCAGAAGAGTTAATTATCAACTAGGAGACCAATGTCTCACCACATGCAAAATACTTGGAAAGTTAGAAAACAACATTTATGTATTAGATTAAATAACACAGCTCATTATAATGTGGCTATATATATTCTGTGGAAGTAACAATTTACAGTGCTCTTTTTCAGGTATAAAAATATCAGCTGCGTTTTGCAGTTTTGRCCTTTTTCTGTTTAACAAAATGAACAAATTTTATCACCGAAATTCAGAAAGATGTTTGTATTTTACTCCATACTGTATATTTTCAGCTTAAGACCTCAAGAACAGTAGCACCAATTCAAACCTGAAGTGTTGTTTAGTGTAGGGTCTTGTAGGATCTTATACTCGTAAGTGAGTCTAATGGATACTGAAGAGAAGCATATACAAAACAGCACAAGTAGACAGAAAGACTCTATTCCTTTCATACTCCTGTCAGTAATGGTTTAAGAGCCTCCTGAGCTGGTGACTGCCTGCAGACCATCATCCAACAGTGGATCTGTTACTGTGAATTTGTTTAATTTTTTTCTGAATCTTCCTATATTTTTCACTTTATCACTCATTTTTCACCTTATCACYTCATTTTTTGCCTTATCACCTCATTTTTCATCTCATCCTGTGGCAAGAAAATTCTTAATTTCATTGTGAAATGGATGGAAAAAGTATTTTAATTGTAATAAAATTTTCAGCATCATGATATTTTTGGATGCACTTTATAACAAATGGGAAATGCTGTATACTTGTTTCCTATTCATTCTTCATTTTACAGTCTCAGTCATCTTTTTACTAAGTAGAAAAGCTCTAGTTTGACTTCCATTCATAGGGAAGCTTCTCACATATTTGAAAAAGAAGTTGGTTATTTTTAGTTCAGCTAACTGCTTGTCAAAATAATTTCAGCCTGACTTCCTAAGAGTTTGCATTTAATTTCTTCATTCATTACTTTTTTAATACTGACACAGTTTATAATTTCTAAACAGTGTTCCTCTTTTTGGTATCATCTGTTAGAGTGCCAATAAACTCCGCCAGTCTTTGTGTTTGCTCCTTGTGTTTTATTGGTAAAAATGGTGTTTTAATTTTTTTTTCAGTCAGGGACACGGATGAACACTGAACAACTGATGTGTTAATTGTAAGCAGCCTCTTTCAGCTGCTACTTAGAATGYCTTTGTAATTAGCACTCTCATTATAATCTCATTGCTTTACTTGAAGGTAGACAACACTGTGTGCATTTTTATGTCTCCTCTCATCCAACYAAGATGATGAATTTTACACTTTACACTCACTACAAGAAAATRATTCTTTAACAGCTTTATATAAAACTGCAATGCTCAGAATAAAATCAAGGATTAGTTCTGTTCTTACGTTTTTTTCTAAGCATTTTCTCTAAATCACTGATTTTTGTTTTTCAAAAAACATAGTCTCTCCACTTTGCCTCTAAATTATATTTATCTTGCTTACTTGGGTAAATGATMAACCTAAATAACCAAATTTACTATCACTATTCCTTTACAGGGTCATTAATCCCCCTTGTCATTTTGAAGTCATAAGTGTGTTAAGTCATAACAACATTAATCAAATTGTTGGGTTTAGAAATCTCTGAACTCTTCCTATTTGTACCACTTAAACCGTATGGTACAATTTGACAGWATAAACCAATTTAATTAAATTAACCTTTTTTAGTATATATTATTCACTAGAATTATATTTTAAAAAATGAGGTACATGTTTGTAGCAATTGACCTATGAGGTATATGGAACTTCCCCTGTAAGAGCAATTCCAGCCTGGATCACAGCATGCATAATTACCTTGAAGGTCATCATTCTGATGTATCTCGAGAWAAAGCTGCCTTCTGGCTCTAAATGAACCTGGAAAGAGTAGATCTAATGCCATGCTTCTCCACTCARTGTAATTCCCATGGGAGGTGGTTTGAAGGCCAGAGCAAGTAGAAGTAGCTCTTCAAACATGATGTCTGTGAGAAGACAATCAGATTGTTGTGTCTCTGGAACATCAACCATTACACACTGGGTATTCATGTGGTAAAACAAGGATTTTGACTCTTTGCTCCTGCCTTTATTTAATAAATTGCAAAATAATATAAATAGACTGTGAAAGGATGAAACATACACTTTGGATATTTCGCAGAGTTCTTTGGAATATGTTTGCATGCTGGGGGTCCGAAGAAATATTCTCTGTGAATATAGAAAAAAACAAGCCCTCATTCTGCATTACAATTGTTATTAAAATTTTACAAAATGCACAAGAGTTCTCCACATTCAAAGTTTGGTTGCTTTATAGAGAACAGAAAGAGAAATTGTCTGGTCAACAAGAGRAACAGAAATAAAAGACATAATTAATTTTTTCCTTTGCAATTTTTCAGACACATGGACCGTTTTTATTCTAGCCAATAATCTATTGCAGCAAATTTTTTTAAGAAAATGAAGGCAAATAAATCTGCTTTCTGAGTGTTCTTCCTACTACTATTATTATTATTATTATTATTATTATTATTATTATTATTATTATTATTATTATTATTATTATATATTATTTCATCCTTTACTGTTTATTATGAGTTTCTGCATCAGTCCTGGAGAGGTTAGAGCATATGAATCACAGCACACACTTGGTTTTCAGACTAATTTTTTTAATTGTTTGTATAGTTTCTGTTCCTCATTGACTGCATTTTGTTCATATTTTTGAAAAGCAGCAGCTGCCCAGTGTTGCAAAGGCCTAATTCCGAAGCAGAGGCGAGCCCTGGAATGCTGGTGTGGCTGCCTGATGCTCCAGCCAGAATTCTAACTATTTACTGACAGCTGAGATGACTAGCAGTCTTCCCCACATAAAAGGGGTCTCCTCAAATTTCTTAGAGAAGATAATTCAGCCTGTATGTGCACATGTCTTTAGTGATTCTCTTCTGAAAAAAAAGAGAACTTATGTTGGGTCAGACAGTGTGCATACGGCACAAATGTATTATTTATGAGTAGTGATCAGAAAGGCTTTCGGGAAACACACAGGCAAACACATTCAAGGCCCTCAGGAGCTTACATTTCTAATAGCAGACCTGACAAAACCAGTGGGAGCTGCAAACAATAGATGGAGAAACAAAAAAAAACCAGACAAATACAGCTTTCAAGATCAAAGGTAAATTAGGTAGTTTATCATATGGGTCCTTCCAAAATATTTATTCACTGGGCTAAGTAATCCATTCCAAGCCGGTGGCATTTATTCATATTAGCAAAATCCTTGGAACTGCTTTCACTAACATCASAGATTTTCAGTCTTACATGCCCTGAGAGACTCCTCCCACACATGCCTTTCCGCACTCCCCACCACACTCTGGTCTTCAAGTCCTATGAAGATAAACTTTCTGTGCCTTTCCAGTTATACTCAGGGCCTGTATCCCATTAGTTAAAAAAAAAAAAAAAAAAAAAAAGAATGCCACTCTAAAGAATGTTCATATCTGATCTCAGTGAATTTGGATGTTCAAGGCCACGTTAGGTGAGACTTTGATCCACATGGTGTAGTTGAAGGTATCCATGCCCATGGCAGGGGGGTTAGATGATCTTTAAAGTCWCTKTCAACCCAAGCCATTCTATTATTAAAGATATGTCAAAAGAGTACATTACTTTTATTGCAGAATAATGAGGCTATGGAACTTAATTGCCAGGGAGAAGGTTCAGGAGGGCTTAACCTTCAAATCTCTAATGTTCTACTAGAATTAATAATACTTGTAATCATAACTTGAACTGAGCCTGACCATTTCAATGGTAAAATTGTATAGGTTATTGGTAAATCTTTAAAATATGTGCACATGGTTTAGATCCAGTAGAACAAGAATACTGTCTTCATAGTAAATAGTTACTATTTTATGGAAAATTATAAAACTATGTCTAATATTAACCTTAGTGATGTGTCTTCAAATATCAGTGACCATTCAGGCTTGCAATAGCATCAAAGCCCCATTAAAAATTTTGCAATAAAAATGTAGTGCTCCTAAACTCCACAAAGCATCTGAAATTCAAG